ATTTAAGATATCTTCCGTCTTGAAAATTAATTAATTATTAAATTTAGACAAATTTTAGCCGACATAATATGTTATATATATATATATATATATATATTTGAATAAAACAAATTTAGGATCCGTTTGGTTTGCATGATTGTTTTTGACGGATTTGGATTTCATGGATTTGAAATCATTGGTGTGTTTGGTTTGTAAGATTTAGAATGAAATTGGATTTCATTATTTATAAATAATTTATAGAAAAAATTATAAATAATTATAAGAATAATGAATTATATGTTTATTAATCGATTATTACAAAATAAATGTTTTTAACATTTTTTAAAATCTTGTTGCATACAATCCTACAAAATCCCGAGTACTCCCTAAAAATTTTAAAATCCTATGTTTGAAGAATTTCAACTAAATCCTAAGATTTCAAATCCAGACAATCCAACAAATCAAACATGAGATTGAAATGGATTTAAAATGCAAATCTCTTCAAATCCATTTCATTCATTAAACCAAACGAGACCTTACTTTAGGATTTAATCTTTTTTAACCATTTTTACTGTTTCTTAATAAACCTAGCTATTGTTTTATGCTTTTTAATTATCTTATAATTAAATGTCCCTTTTTAACTTATGGTTTTACGTCAACATGGTTGAATTCGAATGTGACATTCATCATATATTTTCTTGTTTATTTTTTATATTCATTGTCCCTTCGGCCTCCCAAAAATATGGGAAAATATAGCGTGGTTGTCCTTGCATGCATTATTAACAACACTAATAACACACAAATATATATATATATATATATATATATATATATATAATCATACCCATTTGTATATATATAAAAGGGTTTTTGTTATTCTACGATAGCTCATATATTACAACCAAATAATAATAAGAAGTTTGCTTACATAAGACGTGACCAAGCACATATGAAAACATGGGGGATTTGAGGAAATGTACAAAATTCAGTACATTATTTCATTTAAAATAAAAATCTTATCTTAATAACATGATAAGAAAGAATCATCGATCTATGAACTTTCTGTTGCGCTTATCGTAGTTGAGAAAAAGCAAATTAAAATGTTACATTTTTTAATATGTCACAAAAGATACGATTAATTTGGTCTTTTAACATGCAACTTAACAAAACATGTTAATGACACCTAATTAATACAAATAACTCGAAAGGATGATCTGAAAAGAGATAGATATCATGTGGGTTCTTAGATTAATTAATAAATATCATACTAATTAATTACTTTTATATATTTCCTAATTGGATGAGGTTTTCTATACGTTTAATTAATTAATATTATTAATTATTGATTATTAATTTGTGAATGCCATGCACATCCATGAATTATTCAAATGTTAATCATTGTTTACTCTTGATAACCAACGTCCCTTGGAACACCCCAAGTTTGTGCCCTTCACTACCTACAAGGGGCCATACATGGTTTTAAGGTTGATCCCATCGAGGGAAATTAATAAAAGGGAATAATATAAAGTATATATATATTTTTAATTCATTATAGTAGCTTAGACATGTGTATTTTTCATTTTATATAATATTATTCATCAGTACGTGTTATTAATGACTATACTACTGAGAACCAGATACGGACGATCTTTTGATTTTCAACAGTAAGTGATTCGAACACGTGATGTGTATATAAAAACTAAGAATCAGATATATTGTAGACAATGATTTCTTTATATATTTTAATGTTTGGTGTCTTTAGAAGCTAAGAATCAGATATATCGTAGACAATGATTTGTTTATATATTTTAATATTCAGTATTGAAGTAATGAAGTGGTGTCTTGTAAAAAGATTCAATATCAAAACCGACTATTTTTTATTGACCTAGAGATTCCATATATTCCTATTATCACGCCCATGATTGAAAGGGATCACTGACCAATATATTTAACGTATAAAAAAACCACCAAGAGTCGGTATGAAGAGAAATTTCAACTAAATTATATAAGGGCAATTGTCATTTTCCATTATCGTTTAGATATTACGTAGAAAGTTCATCAAATAACAGTTTTCCATTATCGTCTAGATATTACGTAGAAAACTCATAAGATAACGGAACTCCTTGAAAAACTATCTTAACAACTCATGATGTTCATCTCCAATGTGTTTATATATAGACTCTAATGATGTTAATTAACGTTGATATGGTGGCTACAACACGTTATATCTTTAGAATGGCATGGTTGGTACACGAAGTTGGATTACACGAATGATTTAGAGAATAACCGAATCACTTACAAAATCAAGACAGAAAAAGCATAGCTAATAACATGATAGCGATTTAAACCAAACGAAGTTGCTAAACATAGACATCATAGACTTTCATTCTCTTTCTTTAACCAATATCACCATCCATCTCACATAAGATCAATATAACTGTTTATTGCTACATTTGTCATCTGTCCTTATTTTAAACCGACTCATCATATATCAGTTCCTTTCAAGAAGATCATTCAAGATTTACATGATCAAGTTACCCTCATAATTAACTAAGCTACTGAAAGACATGCAAAAGAAATAAATCATATGTTGTTTGATACGTTTTATTTTCTTGTTTGAAATTTTTATTCTATTGTTAAATTTGATTGTAAATTTCCAAATAAATTGCACCAATTCAAGGAACGTAGAACACAATACTCATTAAACTGATATTATCAGTTTAGTTAAGAATGCATTTATATAAAAGAAGAAAGATCCAAAATCCTAAGTAAAGCTTTGTTTGTTTTTTCATTTTCAGCTCTTAACTACTATTTATGTCCGATTCGTTCAGACTTTTTCTAACTCATACTGTTTGTTTTTATTATTATTCTCAGAGCCTCTTATCACTTAATAGGGTCTGAATAACTAAAAGGTAAACTAATATCTTATTTCCTCTTTTCTTTGATTCTCTCTAGCTATTGCTTCTTTCTCCACCAGGGACGTCATCGTCTTTCATCATCCATGTGAAATGCACGCTCTCACCCTCTCTCTCTCTCTCTCTCTCTC